CATGCTAATCCTTACACTACGCATTTAGAGAAAAAGGTAGGATATTCACTGTGTCCCTTACTTAGTGTAATGTCTACAATGATTTACACACATGCCCATGTTCAAAATTTTCCTAAGTGGTATTTGAAAGATCATTGCTGCTCAATGCCCAAAGGCCAAAGTACCTGGACTATGGTAAACCTCAGCACCTAGGCACACTTTAATTTAATTAATATCTTAACAACCTAATCCTTGTTTTATACAAGTCTCTGCTATACTACCTCACCCCAGGTATTTCTCATCACATAAATTAAGGCGGAAAAAAAAAAAGGAATGTGGGGAGGAAATGCATAAAAACTACAATTATTTAAAAACACATACATTACAAATGAGAAAAAAAATTTTAAATAAAAATGAGTATTAATTTTTAAATTTTTTTCTTAGACACTTGATTTTAAAAGTATAATCAAATACTCATGGACTCTAGACTTCCTAGAGCATGGAAGCTGGATGAGTTCCTGAGACTACTGCTCTGAAACAATCTTTAAAACTTACACTAAAAATATCCCCTGAAGTCTTCTTAAAACCAAACAATAGTTTATAGCTTAACTAGTAAAAATATGTCTGCTTTGAGCATGATGCTCTTTTAAGAACTACCTATGTGGGATCAAATGCACAACCACAACTAGAAAAAACAGATATAAACTTTAGGGGGCAGTGAGTTTATGTTAATGGTGGAAGAATACCTCAGAAAAAGAGGGGGAGAATGATTACACAACTCAAAGAATGTAGTCAATGTCACTAAATTCAACATGTAGAAAGCATTGAAATGGTGTATGCTTTGCTGTGTAATTTTCAACAACAAGTAAAACTTTAAATATATAATCAAAATATGAAAAAGGTAAAGAATTGTGAATATGATAACATTATAGACAACTATCTCTAGTGATCCTAACTCATCATTTTGACATTTAAAATTCAAGTATAAAGAACAATCACAGAAACTAACTGTTATAATCATGAAAAACAGTCTTATTGAAATCAAATAATTGCTGTTATAGCAACCATTCAAAATGCAGCCATGCTGGCAAGACAAAAAAAAACTTTAAGTATCCTAAATTAGCACCTTTCATATTCCTAACTCAAATTCAATTCAGGATTTTAAAAAGTAAAACCAATCAAAGGTACTATTCTTTTTCTTAATTAACAAAAATAATTAAGAATACACTAAGCACAGTTAGTTTTCCATTTTTATGAAAAATTAGCCTTAACCACATTTTAATCCTCCATCTGACTGCTAACCAGAAGGCTGGCAGTTCAAACCCACCAGCCACTCCTTGGAAGGAAGATTGGGTGATCTATTTCCGTCATGATACACCACCTCGGAAACCCAAGGAGGGGTCACTATGAGTTGAATCAACTCTACGACACTGAGTTTGTTTTGTTTTGTTTTTACTTAGCTAATAAGCAGCTCAGGTAGTTGAAGTATCCAGCTGCTAACTAAAAAAGGTCAGTGGTTCAAACTCACTAGCCGCTCCACAGGAGAAAGATGAGGCAGTCTGCTTCTACACAGATTTATAGCCTTGGAAACCCTATGGGGCAAGTCCACCCTGTCCTATAGAGTCATTATGAGTCAGGATCCACTTGGTAGCAGTTACTTAGCTGCCAATACTGGGCTGCCAGAAACTCTTGACTATCTAAAACATGGTATGAACCACTAGTCCCACTTTCCCAAAAGACTGAGTATTAAGAATCAAGAAGGCCTATGTGTACTAGCACTCAAATTTGCAATTTACTATCATATTAGCAAGTAAATTGCTTATCTTTTCTCAACCTCAGTTTCCTCATCACTGATAATATGGTGGGTGTAAGGATTAAAAATGTAATTTAAATGCTTAAAACTGTACTTGGGCACATCAAAATATAAATATTCATTGGCAGTTTACTATTAAAAAGCTCAAGCACCTAATAAAAGTAATCTACCAGACAGATTTACATGCTCAATTGGTAATAGATTATAAACAAACACACTGGAACATTAGGAAAGATAATGTAAATGTGTGAGACCACATGGCTAGTAGAACACCTTCAGAGCTGCTGACATCAATCACTACAATATAATGAAGTTACATATATCATAACAATGAATTTCCATCATCTAAAATACTTTGAATTTAATATTCTTGCATTATAAAGAAATATATAAATTTAATTTGAAAAATTTTTATCAGAAATTATTTAAATTGCTGTATTTTAAAAGGCCAAATTTCAATTATTTTGAAAATCTATTTATATAGACCTCATGACCCATTATAGGATTATAAATGTTCTTAAAAAGAAAAGGACCTCAAGCAAAACATAGTCAAGTCAGAATTCTAAAATTATACGTCAGTTATTCATGGGACAACTTAACTTCAAAGCATGAATTATTTTATTTTTTACTGTGATTTGGGTGAAGGTTTACAGAGCAAATTCACTTTCCATACAGAAGTTCACATATACTTTGTCTCATGACACTGACCACAGTTTACTACAATGCAACAGCTCCCCTCCCACTTCCTTCCCATAGTTACTTCTTCCCTGTGTCCATCCCTCCATGCACTCCGCCCCCTGAGCTGTCTGCCTGTGCATAAGCAGCCCTTCTTTATCCCATGATTGTTCTCTCCAAGGAGTGTATCTCCCTGAGCTAAATGTTCAACTCACATGCCTGTATTTTGTTTGGCTGGAAACCACAGGTGTAGGTTCAATTCCAGATCTGAAGGGCTGCTAGGGGCCATAGTCTCAATGGTTCCACCAGGCTCTACTGGACCAGCAAACCTGGTCCCCCCCCCTTATTTTTTTCCTCCAAATGATTCTGAGTTTTGTTCCACATTGTTCTCCCTCTCTATCAAGGATCTCCTACACAGATCCCCTTCCAAGTGGATGACAGTGGTAGCCAGGCACCATCTAGTTCTTCTGGTCTCACAGTTGTATAGGCTACAGATCGGATGGTGTACCAGTTGCTAGGACTAACTGTTTCCATGAATTTTGGTTTTCTTCATTCTTCTTTGCTCTGGACGAGGAGAGACCCATTGCTGCATCTGATGGCAGCTTGCTAGTTTTTAAGATCCTAGTCACTACTCGCCAAGTAGGAGGTGGAATAATGTTTTGTATAATATGTTATCAAAGCATGAATTATTACAAATAGAAATATGTTTATTAGAGGCTTTTCTTTTCCTTTGAGTCCTGTTATAGCAGTACTCATGAATATGCCTTATATAATTGAAATTAACTGATAAATGTTTTATATAGCTACAGTAATGATTATGTTAATTGTAATAATATGCTAAGAAATATGGAACATAAATTTTCTTAATTAGACTAGTTCAATCTACTTATATGATCAACTAATTTTTTCAAAGAAAAATTTTTTTATAAAAAACTTTCTGCATAGGCACCAGTGATACAAAATACTTGCAGTCCTTACAGAAACAATAGAAGATACACACAGAGTAATCCCTTACACACAACCAGACACTATGGGAGAGAAATCCAATAGATCTACTGTCTCAGGACCATGGTACTGGCGGGCACCAGATTCAGTTGGCACAACAAAATACATCAACTCCTTGTTCCACATCCTACATTGGTGAGTAGCGACTGGGGTCTTAAAAGCTTTCAAGCGGCCATCTAAGACACAGCTAACAGTCTCCTAGCGTCAGAAGCGAAGAAGAGTGCAAAAAAAAAAAACAAGGTCGTTTAGAAGCAATTAGCCCTAGGACACGAAGGCCCTCGAAACCAGAAGAACTAGATGGCGCCCAGCTGCCAATGCCAACCACTCAGGAAAATATCAAATCTGGAGATCCTGGATAGAGTAGGAGGAAAAACATGGAACAAAATGCAAAAACACAACAATGACCAGAATTACTGGTCAGATGAAATCTGGTGAGACCCCCAATACTATGGCCCTAGAATACATTCTACGCCTGGAATAAAACACACCCCTCCCAGGGGCTAGCTTTCAGCCCAATAGTTAACAAGATGTACACGCAGACCACTCATCCCAAGATGATGCACCCACATACTCTATGGTAATAGAGCAATAGCCCACGGGGCACCAGAGGACCAACGTTCAAATTGAGGAAATGCAGGACAAACAGGAGTGCATAAATATGAGGGGCACAGAGGGAGGGTTACAGGGTAGGGAGGAGAGGAGACTGGCTTAGGGTTGGACATGGTGAATGGGGAATGAAACTAAATGTACGCGTTATGTTGAATGTAAAACAAGCTCTTAAAAAATAAATAATAATAAAACAAAATTACAGGAAAAAAAAAATCTTTCTGTGTAACAACGAGCAAGCTTATGAAAGTATAAGGAAGTATCTTTTGCTGTATTATTTATCCAACGTGGAGTCATCATGAGTTGGAATCAATTCAATCATAACTAAGAAGATACTAGATGATTATTTTTTAGGATTCTTAGCCTAAAATAAAATAATCTTGTACTCTGAAAACAGTGTTCCTGGGTAGCACAAATGGTTAAGTACTCATATGCTAATAAAGGCTGGCAGTACTGACTCACCCAGAGGCACATGAGAAGAAAGGCCTGGTGATAAACTTCTGAAAGGTCATAACCTTGAAAACTATATGGAGTAGTTCTACTCTGATACATACAACGTCACCATGAGTTGGAATTGACTCAACAGCAATTGATTAGAAGACACAATTACATAAATGCAATAATTATGCTGAGTGAGATTCAGAGCCATACGTATCATCTTTCCTAAATCTATCACTCATACAGAAGTCCCTTTCATTCTACCCAAACAGGGTGGTTATTAAGCTTTTGGCTAAACATGCTCAGTGTTCACTAGAAGATTCACACTCCCACCCCAAAAAAGTAAGACAGAGGGAAAGTTTGGAAAGACAACTAAAGCAATACGGAGTGCACTGGAGGGTTGACAATATTGGTAGGAGAAATAATCATAGGAAAAAAGGGGCCACATTTTTCCTCTAAGACTGAAGGAAAAAAAATTACTTACCACCAACGTGGGTGCTGTCAATAATCCCCAAGCAAAAAACTCCAAAAAGATGACAATAACCGCATGATAAACACTGGGAGAGCCAATTCCTTGAGGCTACAAAAAACAGATTTTTAAAAGTTAATAAACCAGTAACTGCATTCCAGTATGACTAACAATGATGGCAATAGTCAACAAATATTTATTTAAAACATATATATTTGAATACAATGTCAAACATCTGGATAGTCACTGTCTCTTTCCTCAAGGAGCTGATGATTAAGTGACAGGGACAAAAAAAAAAATAAGTAAACTAATTAATTAAAGTAGTATTGTGCAATGGAAACACAGAGTCCAGGGTAGGAATGGGAACATCAAGGAAGATTTCCAAAGGCTTAAAGGATATAACAGGCAGAGGTAAGGGAGTGAGGAGGGGATGAGGGAAGGCATGAATACAGCTCAGGCCAAAGCAGCAGTCTGCACAAAGGTTCCAAAGTGTGAGAATATGAGGCACTGTGGGTCTCATACGTAGCTGAATGTAAATAGAGCAGGGACTGCATTTTGGAGAGTATCAAGAAACTGATGAGAGGTACACAAGGACTAACTTTCATGCTAAGGAATCTACACTTAATTCTGAAGGCAATGGGGAGCCACTAAAGGATATTAATTAAGACTTACATGATCAGATGAAAGCTTTAAGAAAGGTCATGCTGGCAAAGATGCAACAGATGGATTAAAGGAGGGCAAAATTAGACAGAAATTAGTAGTCAGAAACCCACTAAACTAACCCCAAATCACAGTAACATGTGGTAAGAAGCATAACAAGCATCACCATGGCTCAACAAACCCCAGAGCAGCATGTAAGAAACAGGATCAGATATACACAAGAAAGAAAATATAAAATTAAGTTTATACTGCTGCTTAAGCTGTGTTAAGAATTACTTCAATCTGTTGAATTTTATATTTTTAAAGACAATATTAAATGGATGGAAAAGCAAATGACCTATATAACATGAACTCAATCTTTACTAACGAGTTTGTCTAATGACAGGTAAGATTTTCTAGCTAGAAGTCTAAATTACTGCTGTTTGACCTCCTCAATCAACTTTAAAAAAAAAAAAAGCAAAACCTTTAAGATATGTGTATCAGGATTTGCACAAAGATGTATACACGTTATAATGCCATACTTAAGTTTTATAGTATAGTCAACACTTTACATGAAAGTATTAAGCATTTGAATTTCTCTACACACTAAAAATAACGCTGTACCATTTTTCACACCACTGTAATGCATCATCATCATCATCATTTAAAATAACAGATGCTTCTACTGCCTTGCAGTTTATGTACCTGTAAAGCCCCATGGTAGAATCTGCAACAAAAACTTGAAACTTGAGTTCAGAAACTAGAGACAAAAGGTGGAGGGGACAACATGAGTTGAAGGACCATGGTTTGAAATCAATCTGTGAATGGTCTCAGTCATTCAACAAATATTAAAAAATTCCTACTATGTACCTGAAGAAGGAGCTCTAGTGGTGTAGTGCCTAAGGCATTTGACTGCTAACCAGAAGGTTGGTGGTTCAAACCCATTAGCCACTCACAGAAAGAAGACTGGGCAATCTACTTCGATAAAGGTTTACCGCCTCAGAAACCCACAGGGGATCACTGAGTCAGAACTGACTCAACAGCAGTGAGCTTGGTTTGTGCAAAAACGGCAAGGAGGTATGGACCTTTTCCAGTTGGTTAGTGCAAAAACGGCAAGGAGGCCACATGTTCTGACCTCCTCTAATCTCACAAGAGGAAGACAGGATTATCAGCAGTAACCCAAGGCCTATTACTGAAAGGCCAAACATGCTGCCTCCCTCCAGCCCTTTCACCAACCGTTCCTCCCAAAGCACCCACCACCTCTCTCCTGGGTTCGATAATTCGCTGCAGTGGCCACACAGAACTCACAGTTTATGAGGTTTATTAGGGAAGCACCAGGCTACAACTCAAGTTCAGGAAGAACGCTCAGTCTCTTTTCCAGCCCACCGTCCCTCAGCCAAGAGTCTCTCACAGTCTCTTTCCCAGCAGTGCTGGTCCCTTGGTGTCTCACTCAGCAATGCATGTCTCTTGCGTCTCTTTCCCAGCAACGCGTGTCTCAGGAGCCCGTGTCTCTTTCAGCAGCACGTCTTCCTCAACCAGCAGTCAGAGAGAGTTCTGCCTCTGGGAGGTCTCCTTTAGAGCCCGCAGGGTGGTCAAACTAGCCAATTATAGCATCAGAACTCTAAGCACCTGAGAGAGAGTGGGCACCTCCCAGAACATTGTTTTGTGCCTCTCCCAACAGAAATATTCCAGGTGGACACCTTCAGCAATCAGGAGCTCCTCACTTGCTCATAGAAAATCCCACCTTGGAGTTTACAAAGACTTATGGGTAGAAAAGCCACACAAAGTAATTTACTACACTGCAGTTTGGTTTGGCATATACCTGAGGTGCACGGATTACAAAAATATGACACACTATCTACCCTCACGTTTCACAGTCTCAATGGAAAAACTGCTTATAATTATGTGCTTATATGTAAATGCAGTAAAAGATATGTATAGGTTAGGAAGCAAGCAAAGAATGTTACAGGAAAATGAAGTGGTGTGGGTAGTCACATGGAAGAAAATAAGAATGAAAAATGAGGTCACAAGGGCCATGACAGTTTAAGGTTGCTGCAGAATCAAGTTCTAGTCATGGAGGAAAGAGAGGGGAGACAGAAGAAGTAGCCTGTAATCTCTAAGCTTTATTGAAAAATTTTTCTTCTTAATTCTAGAGACATAGGAAACCACTGAGGGGTTTCTAGAATAGAAGGGTGTAATCAAATCTGAATTTTTTTTAATAGTTGACTCTGGTGAGTTCATAGAGAATAAAAGTGAGGAGGAAATCATGCTAAAGTATGCTATTTGAACTGACATATGCCAAGACATGATGAAGGCATGAAACGGGAATGACACTGATATTGAAGAAGAAGAAATGGATATGGTTAAGTATTTAGGATCTGGAGTTGGCAGAACTTGATAAATGTAGGAGAGAATCAAGAATGACCTCTAAGTTTTTAACATGGCTGTCTAGTGGTAGAAGTTGGCAGCTTCTTCTTCCTCTTGAGGTACTTCAGGTTTTGTGTCCAAGAGCCAGCCTTCTTATTTGAAATATTTCTATTGTCCTTGAACTCTGATTAAACACTCAGCAGTAAATGTTGAGTTTGAAACCACCAAAGTGGCTGAGATTATCTGGAGAGTATAAAGTGCAGTAAGAAAGAACCCAAGGAACATCCAACATTTAAGTAGTAGGCAGAGAAAAAGGAAGCTGGCAAGATAAAGAAGGAACATCAGAGAGCTATCAGAACAATCAAGAGAAGAGACAAAGGAGGAATTTTAGGAAAGGGTGATGACCAATACCAAATAAAGAAGGTAGAGTAAGATTCCATCAGAAAAATGTATACCACCATACAGACCCAGTGCCTAGCAGAATATCTGACTGAACTTCTCAGGGCCTTTAACATATTAATTTATATTATGAATCTCCAAGAAGATTTAGTATATGTTGTTTTTAAAATATGACCATATAATACGTAATAGCTCATGGAACATCTGAGTTCCGTGAATACCGATTAAAAAGATGACAATTATACACACACACACATATCAAAATACACACACAGGGCAAACAGGTAAGAAGAAAACAATGTGTTAAAAGCACTTCTTTGTTTAAGTGAAGAATATTTAATCAGCCAAGGAAAATGTCAAGGAAGGTTTCCTAGAGGAGGTATAATCTGAGCTCTGAAAGTCCAGGGGAAAGATGTCAGAATGTCAGGGGTGGGGGGTAAACAGGAGAGAAGAGGATGATGGCCAAGAGCATCTGAGGTGAAGGGAACAGGATATGCAAAGGCAGATTAGATTTTGGCTAATATCTAAGTAGGAAAGTGGTAAAGGTTGAAGCTGGAGAGGTGAGCAGAGGCTAAACCATAAAAGGTCTTTTAAAACACATTAAAGAATCTGGGAAGGGAAGACAGCAGAGAGACTAAAAGTACCATCACAGGATTGTCTTTCTAGATTGGTAACTTTACTGCAATTTGGCAAATAAGCTGAATCGGAAGCAGAAAGACCAGGAAGTTGGCTGTAGTAGAAAATCTGGTAAGAGGTAGCTGTAACATGAAGATAAGTAGCTACAGGGATGGACCAAAGTGAATGGATAAAAAAAGTTTGGGAGGTGGAATCAATAGGACTCAGTGGTTTACTAGATATGGGAGAAGAAGGCAAGAGAGTATCAAAGATTAAAAAAAAAGATTTCAATTTCAGGCGTGGTCAACTAGACAGAGGAAAGGGGAAAGCATGACAGATGAATTTAGTTTTATGTATACTGGTTCTAAAAAAGCATGTACAATAGCTAAATTTAAAAGGCAAACATTGAGGATTATGCAAGAAATAACTAAAGATTAATGTGGTAACTAAGTGAAGCATTCATAAAAATCAATACAGAAGCAATAAGAGACATCATTAAAAAATACGAAGGACATTAAGTAATTTTTGAAATAGTTAACAATTGTGTAACAGTTGTATTTATAACACTAGCAAAAGAAAAAAAGAGTAGCTTCTGAGGCTGCTTTGTAAAACCAATTGATTTGGTTTCTTGGTTTAGAAATTTAGGGTTATGGTTTCATGGGACATCCCAGTTAATTGGCCTAATAATGCATTTAGAAGTTCTGTTCTACCTCCTAGTTCCTTATAGTGTGCCTGGGGTCTTAAAAGCTTTCGAGCAGCCATCAAGGCATGACAACTGGTCTCTACTTGCCCGGAGCAAAGAATAAGGAGAGTAATAGGAGGAAGAAAAGGAATGTGTGGCTAATTGCCTCCATGAACAACAGCTTCCTCTGCCATGAGCCTGGATGGTGCTGGTTACCATTACTAAACATTTTCAGCAAAGAGTCTACATAAAAATCCTGATCAAAGTGGGGGGTGGGGGAGAAATACACAGAACAATATTTAAAATTCTCATGGAATCCACATTTTCTGGAGCCACTGAGAGTGGATGAACCCTTGAAACTATTGCCCTGAGGTAATCTTTAAACCTTAAACCAAAAATAACCCCTAAA